CCTAGATTTCACAAGCATACTCCAGGAGCGGCCTGATGACATTAAGGTACAGGGTGTTACTAAACTCGCGGGGGCAGTCTCTAAAATTGCCTTTGATGAATCCTTGCATCCAGTTAGCCTTAGCGGTCATGTAATCAATATATAAAGGTTCCAACAGATATCGTTGGAGAAATACCACCTAAATGCTTTACATTCAATTACAGCCTTACACTGATGTTATTGTTGGGGTGCATGCTGGTGCAAAAAACATTTTCATGTGAATCTGGCAAAACAAAATTGCGGCATCTAGATTCATTCTTTATGTGGAGCACCAGGTGGCTATGCGATCAGTTTCCCGTTGGAGAGCTACACTGTCATCAGCAGCACCTACTGCAAAATTAATAACACAGTCGTCAGCAAAAAGACGTATAAATAATAAAAAGTTTCCAACACTATCATTATTAAGTATTAAAGATAAAATCGGTCTCAAGACAGAGCCTTGGGTTACACCAGAGGTGATTGGGAACAAATTAGAGGATTTGCCATTAATTACCTCTGCTTGTTTCCTGTCTCTTAATACTTCAGCTAAACATCCGAGGACGACATTCGACATTTTAAAGGCCTTAATTTTGTGACGAATAAAGTTGTGTGGAACAAGGCTGATAGCTTTCCGAAGATCAAGGAAAATATACAGTCACATAAAATGACTTCGTCGTATGTGTTCGCTAAGTCGTAGTAAAATTCAACAACAGGGTTGTCCAAGACAAGCATTGAATGACCCCGTGTTCAAAGTGGGTGAATAAATGTTTCGAGAGTAGATGTTGTACAATATTGGCGTTACTATTGAGTTCTATTAATTTAGAAGTCGCGCGTAAAATAAAATGGGCTTGAAATTTTTCTACTTCGTTTCTGGGACCACTTTTATGTATATCCACTGAAGGAACAGTCGTCCAATAGCTAGGCGAAAAGAATCTGTTAGTGATTTAGTGAACACGAGAGGCAGATACATTGAAAGCACACCTGAACGCTCTCTCAGGACCCTCTATGGAATGCCATCAGGGCCGGTTGCCTTGTCAGGACTAAGCGATGCAAGAAGTTTAACGAGGCCATCGGAGTTATGCAAGAGTTATTTCATGCTATCGCTTAAACTTGTGCGAATTGGCTCTGCATTGTGAAATTAGAAGCAGAGCAAACACGAATGAAAGACAGTTCACGCAGATAGAGCGATGAGAGTGTTTCTACTTGCCCTTCATTTAAATTCGCGCTGTTTTTTTTTTTTTGTCTTTTTGTCTTTTTTGTCGTCTTTTATGCTGTTTGTTAAAGTGCAGTCAGAGGCCAAAATAAGACGATAACAATAAATAGGAAGAGTAAAGCAGACTAGATGTAGCTGCCTGGGCGGATACATTGGTTGGCGAGATACCTACTTGGTGATTTTCGTTGTTCTTAACATACTTCCAAGATTTTCTGGACCCCTGTTCTGGCAATGACTTAAATTAGCGTGATAAGGCTACTTAGCTAGCTTCAGTTCGCTTTCAAAAAGTTTCCTGATGTCACGTAACATTGTAAGTGACACACCACTCGACATTCCGTGGTATAAGTAAGCAGGGTTTTTTGTTGTTTTTTCTTAATAATGTTGTGAGTTTCTATCTGTCTAAACCTTCTTCTTTCTTTTTCTTTGGGTCATTATTGTCTGAGGTATACGTTAATCAATTAAACAAACCAGCCCGTAATTAGAAAGTTTTTGCAGATTGTCAATATCAATCTCCCAACTCCATATTTCAGAATCGGCAAAATACAGCACATGTTTTTTAGACAGGCCAGCGTGATTACCCTTATCATTAAAGTAAACCTTCCGTGGGCACGGCTTAACCGGCATCGCTCACTTGCAGTCTATGCTTGCAGTGACTATGGCATGGTCTCTGATTCCTGGTAGGTATGTAACTGAAGTTAGGACTGTCCGAGAGTCACAAAAAAAATAAGATCTACTGTGCTCGATCGCCTAGAAAAGGTTCTGATTTATTGAGTAACATATTGGGACAGGCCAAAGCTTGATACAAAATGGAAATAACGTTTAGCACAATGTTAAATAATTAAGAAAGAACATTTGACCGCTACACCACGTGACATCAAGTAAGTTAAAGTCCGTAGAAATAGAGAATCACTCGTAATATACCGTAATTTAATTAAAAGTATATCATCATATTATACGTCAATATTTCGACTAAAGAAATTATGCGTAATGGTTTGAACAAAAGATGGGTAAAAGGAACCGCGGGCAAGAGTTTCCTCAGAAGATACATAAAGTTTACACGAAACAGACTCACATGAAGTGCAAGTAACATTTATTTCAGAGCTCTGAAGAGCGCTCGCCATCAGCAAAAAAACTCCGCCACCATGCGTGTTCCTATCTTTGCAATAAACAGCATAGTTAGGGGAAAAGATTGGGCGTGACTTGTGCCCAATATTTACCTTACGCTCAGTCATGAGAGGGGAAGTAAAAAATTCAACCAGTGCTGCGTCCGCGTTCGGCTTCACTGATTGCACATAAGCCCAAACCCAACGCCGATGCAACGATTGGCTAAGTGGGCCGGGCGCAGCGTCGAAACACAATCAAATAATCTTTGCTGTGGTTGCCTCCATTGGTGTAGTTCTCAATTTAGCCACAGAGGGCTCGACGGTTCGATCTCCTTCCTAATATTGTCTGATAGCCCTAGATAACAACTCCGTGGTGCAGCAGTTTCTACGTGACTTACCGGAGGCAAGCGTTGTGCTTCACAGTGCTGTCCAGTTCTGCACCCCCCCCCCCCCTCCCCGCCCCTCTTCTTCGAGTGCTACCACGTACTCTCATATTCAGGGCCAACTCGCCCAACAATCAGCTCTGTCTGAACTCCAACACGGACCACCGATGGGACACGAGTAATGCGTCATCATTCAACTGGGACTGGTCTGCTCACTGAAGGAAACACGACCGGAACGCAGAATTTCTGTTGAACCATTGCCTCGTGCTGGCCTCCGGAGGGTGAGGTATGAATTCCAGCAATGGTCCTTGTAATCTAAGAGGTGTTAGCTGAATCCGGGAATCCTCTCGTGTTTATGTGAGTGAACAGCATTCAGTCAGAGGTTGCCAGTTGCAGCTCACTCCCTAAATTACTCCTCTAGAGCGAAGAATTCGTGGTGCCCTATCTTAAGTGAACCCCGGCATCTCTTTATGAAAAAACTCACGTCCAAATTGCGTGCTTTTGAAAAGTTGCTAATGACTTTGCATTTGCCTTTTTTTCGAGGCGAGTATATTTTGGGATATCTTAACATGCTTTATTTTGTTCACTAAAAAACTATATTAAAGCATCTACTTGCCTAGAAGCTTTAGCCTCAAATATATGCACGCAACAAGTTTACCTAACGTGTTTCCTGTTTCACCGTAATGCTGGCAATTTGTTATGTACTACCATGGGCCATGTGAGCAGAAACAGTTCTTGATGCTACTTTGGCGTACCTGCCTGTTTTTGAGAGCCGTGGTCAAAACTAGGAATAGAATGCGAATTTGAGGTCCCGTAGCCAACACTACTTGACGACCTCAGTAATCATTCAGCTTGTGAGGACAGCACACGCACGAAGAGACCAAATTAAATGTTTCAGCCTTTTTTTTCCTTTCGCTGAGGTACGCCCCTCCTAAATTCCATGATTATAAAAGTTTATCGTTTAATTCCAATACCTTCCTCTGTTGCCTCGCACAAAAGTTAATAACATTAAAGCGGGGGTGCAACGATTTCCAGACTTCGGTCAAAGATTTCTGGAAGTTGCCCTCTAACACTTTTGAAGTAAAGACAAGAAAACCGATTTCGCCTGCGTATCATAGTTGTTGCGTAAAAATAAAAGATAAATCTTGGCATTTCGGGCACCCCTCAACTCACTCCCAGCCTTCAGGGTCACACCTGGTCCCCCTCCCAGTGACGTCATTCGGAGTGCAGTGTAGGTTCCCGTGTGCTCTCTCGGAGGACGCTTCCTCTCCCTCTCTCTGCTGACATTATCGGGCGTTATGCTGCAGCTTAGAGCCGAGCGAGGTCACGTAATCTTCTGGCCGTAGTTCCTTCGGTTGCTACTTGGGGCTGCAGGTGGGGGAAAAAGCTCGACTTTTGCTTTGCGATTATGCAGCGGAATCGCGACATTTTTTAATGAAGGAGGTGTTTTCTCTATCCTCCGGGACACGATAAACAACGTAAAAATGACAAGATGCAAAATCTTTTAATCATAAAATCGTTGCACCGCCCCTTTAAATACCCTTGGGCATCTCCCCTACTATCACTCCTGGTATATGCTTCTAAAAATGAAGAAATAACAAAGCGATCCATTTTTAAATAAATACATGTGACTTTCGAGCTACTTGAAAATATGTCTGAAATACACCGAAATGAGCTTTGCCTGACACAGCACCTGACGAAGTTACCATTATTCAGTGTACTATTGTGCGTCTTGCTAGAAACGGTCATTGTAATCGAACTCAATTCTAATGACACGTTGGTGTTAGTGATTTAAATACTTGAGTACACATGGGCTGCTAACTATCTAATGGAAGCCGTAGATTAGGATGTCACGTGCCTACAGCAAGACCCGATCATGTTGATTATATACTCTATACCAATTAAGCAACAATATTTTTAAACATCCTCTGATTCATGTCATATAAGTCAATTATTGCTTGCCCTTCCCTCCCCCCCCCCCCCTCCTTCTCGCAGACTTTTCGCCCACGCTCGCAATTTATAATGTATATCCGAAAATCACCATTATAAGGAATCAAGGCTGGCGGGTATCACATTCCACAGTGGGGATTATATCGTCTTCATTTTGACTCTTAGTTATCCGGCCAATGGGTGTCCTAATTTCACAATGTCACAATCCGACATTCACAGATATGAGGGCGGGAGGAAGGGCATTATACAGTTGGCGTTTATAGCATTGCCACCGTGATCGATAAACACTTGAATAATTCTAAATTACAAAGGAGTTACCCAGACATAAACACCCTACAGGGGCGTGACATCGTCGTCGTATCCTAAATATTCCTTCCAAACGCCCCACATTTCTGTTCCCTGCATTCTTCTTTCGTATACGCTGCGAAGTCTCTGTTCTTGATCTTTGTTGAAGTAGGACCTCCAATCTCCAACACGTCCCTTGCGGAAGAAGTTCTTTAGAGGTATGAAGGCACTCGGGTCATCTGTCTCTTCACCTTGTTCCGTCTTGTGTACGTCTCCGTCAATCGTAACGTTTGCCTTCATGTTTTCGAAGGTCGTTCTTTGAACAACATCTTTCAGGAGCCCTTCATCCTTACGGAGTCTGTCGGCAAGAGACTCGTCGATGAATTCAGCTATCTTCAGGATTCCTTGGGTCTGGTGCTCCCTGAGCTCCTCGTAGTAGAAGAAAAACACATTCGGGTCATTTCGGTGTGCGTACCAGGAGAGGATGTGTTCGAAGTATTCTCCGAAGGGGACATGGCCGTCCATGAAATCCTCGAAGAATTCGTCGAACGTGGTGTCGGCCCTCATGCCCATGTTGAGTCGATCGCCGAGACAGTGGTGGTAGAAAGAAACGACGCAGTCGAATGGGTTCCGTACGATGACCACGTACTTGGCCTTCGGGTGGTACGGAGACCTGGAGAAGGGCAGGTGATGCTTGATGATCCGTGGTTCAGGAAGGCGCTCTATAGCATCTCTGCCAACCTGGATATAAGAAATTCGCGATCTTACTACCTGTGCTAGTAAAAAACGCAAACTGACCGAGTTCAGCTTTTGTTGTTCAAGACAGCAGCGTCTACGAAGCTTTCAATAAACACATCTGGGCCATATTTTGGCTTAAAATTAGCCGAAACGCTGTGGGATTTAAAAATAAGAGGTACGATCAGGTGGAACATACATACAGGTGGAACAAAATTCCGTACCACTTGGCAATCTATGTTTAAGATAAATAATTAGAAGGAACTAGAACGGTTGTGAATTGTATGAGTTCATATGAGGCGCAAATAGATGGCTATAGTTTGTTTTGTGCACATATCCGAAACCAGTCTTGGAATTCTTTTTCAGTAGGCTCATTTTGTTAGACTTCCTGTAACCAGTAGAAAACAAAAAAAAAACTCCCGATTTTAATGCGTTTAGTTAATAATTTTTATATTTCTTTTTCATGAACAATATTTTTCGAGATTCATTGTTTGATAATTTGCGCACAATACAACTAAATTGCTTTGTGAAAAATAAAAAAAAATTAAAAACTTTGTTGCTCTGAATTTTTCACTTTGTTTTTTCCCATCCGCTTTTAGTGAGCTGAGACAGCCCGTCCTACCTTCCAAGTTTTAGCCACGGGCACTTAGGGCATTTCATTATTCTCGACCCTCAAAGACTAAATGACTTTAATAGAGTAGTGTGTTAATTAAATAATTGCGCTTGAGGACGGGCAAAGTGCAATTCGAAACCCACCCTGGTTTTGTTCAAATCGGTTAACCTGCTTAACCTGTTAATGAATAAGCAAACGAAGAAAATTTTGACGAAACCTGGGGCTCGCCTGTACTTTATCGCTTGACCGCTGTTGACGCATGGTAATTGTTCTTAGCTGATGAAGTATTTTGTTTTAGGCTGCCCCATATCGCGAACTATTTTTGGGTCCCAAAAATCGCTTTTTTGCTAACATTTTTGTTGAGTTGATGTAACAACCCAGGACAAAAAGTTAAAATAATCTTACCAAAGTGCGGTAAATATATAAAAACAAAATATTCTGTATAATATGTGTACATGCATCAGAAGTTGTTTTACGCGTGGATGCAAGCACTACTTATTATTTTAGGCTCTTTTGGTTGAAAGCCCACAACGCAGCAGAATTTCCAAATTAAATATGTGGAAAGACTATCTTAAAAGGTTCAATTAACAGTGGAGTGATTGAGCAACGCAATAGCACACGTTGCATTTGAGGGTCATCTATCAACAAGCAACCCGGAATCGGATCAACTGCGGGCACTCCAATCAAGACCAAGTCCGTCACACACGATAATTATTTAGCTTTTTTGTTTCCCTGTGGTATCAACGTAGATCAGTCTCAAACAGAAAACAAAGCTTGCTGTGTGCACACTGGCCAGGTGAACTGTTGGGGGAAACCTTTAAAAGCTAGAATCCTCGCATATGGACAATATGAACTTTTGGCTCAGAATCTATCACAAACAAATATAGTCAAATATTAAGCTATTTGAGGATGATTGCGTACTATAAAGTTATAGAAAATGACGGATACGTCTCCATGATGCAAAGGGATGGAGGAATGTTAAAACGCTGGTGCAACATTGGGAAATGAATTTGAATACAAAAAAGTGCAAATACATGTTTTACTCCATCTACTGTTAGCACGGCTGCATATAAGATAAAAAATATGAACTTGAGCCAGTAGATAAACACATGTATTTGGGAGTTCATTTTTCCAATAATCTAATATGGAATGACCACATAAATAGTATTGTAGCGAAGGCAAGTAAGATGTTATTTTTTATTCGGAGGAATTTTAAGAATACATCGCGTAGCGTAAGACAAATGTTATATTTCTCTTTCATCTAACGAATTTCGGAGTAGACCTGTGTTATCTGGGATCCGCCTCAGTGTTCCCTCGAGAATACGTTAGAGCGAATTCAAGATCGGGCATTAAGGTTTGTCACAGGCGATTATAGTCCGTATTCGAATTGTACAGAAACGAAAAACAGACTGAGTAGGAACCTCCTTAAACTTCGGAAAAAGTGTTTGCGGTTAAATTTTTTTCAGAATACATATCACGGGGAGACAGGCATTGAAATGAGTCTTTACATTTTCAAACCACACCATGTATCTTCAAGGCGTAATCATTCTAAAACGGCGGCTAAGTATCGTTATTGTACTGACTGTTTTCGATATTCATTTTTGTTCAGACCACCCGGGAGTGGAACGCCCTTCCGGAAGAACTGATAGTTGTTATCAATAATGACGTCTTTTGTGACAGACTGCAGAGGCGCGTGCTCGAGTGAAAATGTAATGCTTGTTGATTGTCGATTGCATTACTAAAAATGTCTTTTGAATTCGTCTTTCTTTTGTTCATCCCTGCATAATGCATAAAGGCACAGCAGGCACTTATGTAAATAAAATAAAAACTAAAACACTAAACAAGCCATTTGATTTTTTGTAGTGTTGCCTCACAAATGTGAGGGAGCAGTATAAATATAATGTAGGAAGACAGTGAGAGCGGCTTATCTGTCTCCAGATCCGCCACTCTTACGAGTAGATGCCTATAACAAACCATTTTTATACGCCTCGCCAGTGGGCTCATTTTCGTCTTCTGCGCATGAGAAAGGAAGTAGCGGTGACGTCAGAACGCCGAGCCCTGATTGGCTGATCGCGACACCCTATATCAGAGTAGTCTGCCCCTTTGCAACGTCGTCTGCTCGCAACGTCGTCTGCGTCTGTCTTACCTTTCCTGCGACTTTCGGAAGTCGAGCGAGCTCGACTTCGCCTTTCAGAGGGTGCAGACGAAATACCTCGAGCGGGACGTTGTTTTTGTGTAACAACTAGCAGACGCGCATGAAGGAGGGAAGTCAGAGGACTCACTGGCGAGGTGTCCCGAGGCGCCGAGGTTTGTTTGCTAAGAACCGAGAATGAGCGTGTTAGTGTCCGCAAGTTCCCCCCAAATACTTTTTCCCTCCTTTCGTGTGCGGCGAAACTCTCACTCTTTAACGGCGTAAGCGGGTTGGCGCGGTTAACGACGTCTGCTTTACGTCTGCTAGTCAAAGCGATGGCTGCTTTACCTTTCCTGCGTCTGTCGGAGATTCAGCGCTTTTTTACCGGCGAGAGTCACCGTTGCCTCGGAAAACAAGGAGATGGCAAGAGGAAGAGATTGACCTCTTGATCTAAAATTGAGGTCAGCGATCAAAGTATAAGAAGGGAAGGGTTCCACAAGGGTCGGCGCGGGCATATTCCATTCAGCACGCCAGCCGGTCGTGGGCAGACGGTCGCCGAGTCGGAGTGCCTGCTAGGCCTCTCTGCCGAGCTCTCTTGGTCTTTGTAGGTGTAATCGTGGCCGTTGGTGCTTTTCCCGGGTGTTTGTGGATCCAGCGTTCTTGTTCGTCGTGGTCTGTTTCAAGTTCTTTTTACTTTTTTCTTGCTGCTTGGAATCGGGGCGCGTGAGAAGCGCACGTAGAAAAATAAACGCCCGTTGGTCGCCGCGACCACGACGCTGTCGGCCATGTTGATTTGATCGTAAGAAGTGCGTAAGACAGCTTCGGAGCTGTCGTGGGATTTCGCCATAACCTGCGCAAAACTTAGAAAATTTCGTATCGTGAATACGAATTTGTTCTCAAGTTTGGTCTTACGCATATTTTTGGCGTAAGATCGTCTGGCCTCTGGCTTCTGCACTTTCGAAAGTCGCAGGAAAGGTAAGACAGACGCAGACGATGTTGCGAGCAGACGACGTTGCAAAGGAGCAGACGACGCTGAGATAGGGGGTCGCGATCAGCCAATCAGGGCTCGGCGTTCTGACGTCACCGCTACTCCCTGCGCAAGAAGCAGACGAACTTGCCTTCCGCATAGCATTTTATTTCCCAGTGAAAAAGTCAAACGTTTATGAGGTCCTAGTATTGCTATCCACGAGGCGATTACTACAGTTCATACCAGTACCTCAATGAGTTTGATTTGAGCGTTGTCCTAGAGGACAAATGTGTTGAGGCGTGTACAGACTCACGGAAACATAAAAGATAGGAATAGATATGCATATACCCCAACACCTATTTTGAAACGCAAGTATACTCCGTGGTTTTCAAAGCACCTAAGGCAATGCTTGCGACGACTGCTGCATTATCATCGCCTTTAAAGAAACAACAGTACTCACTAAATGGTATAAGACGTTTAGCCACCATCGGGTGTTAGCGAGACGACTGTTCATGTATCATAAGCATCAACGTGAAAATTCTCATTGGCAGGCATTGACCAAGGAGCTGTACAACTTATTGATGTTCACAAGAATGAGTAAATACACCAGTGCTTCTCCGGTCCCATTGGCTAACGGCAGTGATTATTGCTCAATTCTAACTTGGCAGCATGAATGTTCGCACAACATTTTAGTTCGTATTTTTGTGGCTGACTCGTTCTTCACAGCAGTGGTCAATGAATGTGGTAACTTCGTGTCTTGCATTCCGATAACTGAATGTAAAGTTATAGAGGTTATTAGAAAGCTAATCACGAAATTATCAGTTGATATAGATGGGATCCCATGTTTCAAAGAGAGAGGTTGCGCAGCAGAGATTTGTCCTGTTTTACAAGACATTTTCAGTTTGCCTCTCGAATTCCGTGTATTTCCATCAATATCAAAACTTTCTAATGCTATCTCAGTCTTTACGTCTGGTGACCCAATTAAGGCAAGACGCTATCGACCTTTGTTCTAGCTCTACTCATTGTCTTAAGTTCTTGAAATTATGGATATAATTGTCTCTCCGTGTATGTTTGCCAAAACATTGTATGTGAACAGCATGATATTTTTAGATGTCGTTCGATAAAGACGAATTCGTTTTCCTTTCTGAATGGCGTTGTGCCAATTGTTCACAACCGTGAGCAAGCAGATGTAATTTTTGGCATGACGAAGCCGCCGTGATTCAACAATCTTCGCTCACCGCTCTAAACAACGGCCGCGCAATCCAGTTCGCGCGCTCTGCGGCACGGGCAGTTCACACTAAGCAACCAAGAGTGCTATGAGCGATGTGTGGCCAGCACCTTGTTTTTAGACGTTTTCCTTTTCTTTTCTCGGCGTCAACTTTCGTATTTTTTCAGTCTGAGTTTGTTTCAAAATGGTCAGTATATGTACCAGCTCACATCCGCCTTTACGTTGTGACATTTTTTTTTCTCTTGTAGTTCGATTTCTGAGTTGTAGAAATAATATTTGATTATCCTGTCTCTTTCTTTGGTATCTCCTTCAGCACTTTATTACGCGTGCATCTTAACTATTGATCGTTCGGAAGCAAAGCAGTCAGCAAGTTACTTCGTTTCAGCATGCCGCGGTTCGCAACGTGGAATAACGCAAAAAATGAAACGATTGTGCTTAACTCGGCCGCATCGTGCGAGAGAGTCGCTTGAAATGCCCATGCCGCAGAGCACGCGATCTCGGGCGCTCAGCCGCTGTACAAAGCGATAATCTAATAGCCCCTTCAATGGCAAATGCCGAGCGCTCCGCGCTAGCGGTCGTCGAGCGGTCGGCCTCCGTGAGCGATCGGTCACGTGATCCATCCCAGTGGCACGCGCTGCGGAGCAAGTCGAGCGTAACGCTCCCAGCGCCACCGCTTCCAGAGCGTCTGCTCTCGCTTTTAAACAGTTGCGGTTCCCCATTGCTATCTTGCTGAAAGCATGAAGTTCTGATCGGAACTTTATGCTTTGACAAAAAATTGATTGTTTACTACTTGATTAACGGCGATCCCGACGTTAAGACATAATTTATCTTTCCTTACAGTTATATAAGCCGGGTGAAGACAGCTAGAAGTACTTGTACGAGCCGTAGGATGCTGTTAAGCAATACCAAACACGTATGCCGTAAAGCGATCGTCATCTCCGAAGGCGACTTCCATCTGCGGAGTACTTGGCGTGTTGTCTTCTAATTATTCCAATTACCTTACAGAGACCACAAAACGAACAAACGACATACCTATCTCTTCATCCAAATAGGCGCGCACAACGTTTTCGACGTAACGCGGTATCTTGAACCTCTTCTCAGGCCAGCCAAATGACTTGGCAAACACTCCGCCGAGAACGGCTGCCTCGTCGTCACTCGAGCTAGAGCTAAGCTGGTATCTTCGTCGCTGTCACTACGTTTGATTGGACCTCCTGAAATTAACTGCAACGATGTCATCGCCGCAGTATGCTCGGGCGAGTCGGTCATGACGAGGGGAACGAAAGCAAGCACACCAAGAGAGCCCACCCAGCAATCGAAACAAAAAAGCCGCGAAACTCCTTCACTCCCCCGCTTGAATGTCGATAACGAAACTGAAACGTTGCGGGAGACGACTACAGATCGTACTCCTCCGAAAAAGGCTGCGCGGGGAACCACTCCGGACCGCTCGACACGCTCCGCCACTTTTCCACGGAGCGGTTGGAGCCGCTCGGCGAGCGCCCCACTGGCAAGTGTGTTCCTTCCTTCCAGATCTACAAGCGGCACACGGAGAGGGAAACAAGAATCCGCTCGGGGAGCGAGCGCCCAGCGCTCGCTATTTGCCAGGGGAAGGGGCTATAAGATTGTGGAGTCACGGCAGCCAGAGCGGCGACTATCGCCGTTTCAATCAAACCGGAGCACATTGCGTTGAAGCGAGTAAACGAGCAAGCCAGCAGATAAGAAAGGATGCACGTGCCCGTTACGCTGCTCTCGGCAGCAGGCGGCACGCCGTCAGGGAGCGCGGCAGTGCCATTCGGTCGGCGATCCGGTTTTTTATTCATACTTTTGCTCCCGACAGTAAGGTTTGTGTCTCAGATATTGCAACTTGCTTAACAGTTATTTGACTAAACGCGAGAACGTAGTAAGTCTGTCTGGTAGCCTGTCCCACCCTTTCTAAGCAACGTCAGGTGTCCCCCAAGGGAGCAAATCTTGGCCTTTCCTATTTTTAATTTCGGTTAATGACATTTCATTGTGCATTACCTGCTCCAAAATGCTTTTATTTGCTGATGACATCAAACTGTTTGGGCTGACAAAATACTGTAAAATACTGTCTGTCTTCAACGTAATGAGTGCTTTATGCATAACTGGTGCTTATCTAATGGTCTTGTTCTGGACGAATCGAAAACAAAAGTTTTTTTCTTTAAGTAAAACACGTCACGTTATGCAATTCTGCTGCACTTTAGATTCTACAATTAATATGGTAATGCAAAGTGAGTTTCTGATTCGGGACCTGGGTGTTTATATAGACACTGGGATTTTTTTTATTATAAGGTTACGCATTTTTTCAATTCGTCTCTACGCGATTTAGGAGTCATAACACGTTCATCTGACTTTAGAAACCTACCTTGATTTCTCGTGCTATTTCGTTCTCTTGCGCAAAGCCGCCTTGAGTTTGCCTCAATCATGTGGAACTTCATTAAAGCGACCAAATCATCTAGGATTGAATGAATCTAAAGAAAATCTATAAGTGTGTTTATTACCGTTACTTACAACTCCGGGTATTTTAAGACTATGATATAATCTTAAATCTGATTGCTTAAAGTATGCTTACATGACGGATGATTTGGGGGTTTATGTTATTGTACAAAGCTGTGAATTGTTGCCTAGACACACTGGCGTCATTGAACTGTGCATGTTTCCAAGTTCCTCAGAGATTAAGCCGTGTTCAGTTCTCATTTTATCATTTCCTCGTGAAACTGGAGCGTGCTGGTGAAGTTATGGTGTTAGAGGAGAATTATATAAATGACGAAGACAGCAAGACACATGTGTCGCCCGATTCTCGTCACTTACGTAATTCCCGTCTAACACCTTATCATTCTTCTTCGTACAAAACTGAATCCCTGACTCGTTTTCCACTGGTTTTCAACAAATTTAAATCTAGGTCAGGTAACCTTAATATTGATATTTTTTAACCCGAAGAAAAATTTCGAGACTTCATTAATGTTCTTGTTTCATCTTAATATGCAGACCATTGTTTTGTGAACTGGATGGGATCCTCTTCAGTGTACCACTTAAAAGGCCTCTGGCTGTTTGTGCGGCACTCAAAATAAAGGAAACAAATAAATAAATATGACCGCACTTAAGCTTTTATAGTAGGCGTTTTGATCCCACCAAGAGTTAAGGCTTCAGATTTTTAAGTTCTAACGTTCTGAGTAGTAATTTGTTTTAGTACTTACGAGTTCCAGGAAAGGCGCAAGGCTGGTCACGATCTCAATAAAAGGTGGTAACGCCGTTCCCTTTTCCAGGTTCAGAAGAACCCAGAGGATGTACTGCGTCCACGTGGCTCCTGTCTTCGGGTAGGTGGCCAGGAAGATGTCCCCTTCTCTGGCCTGGTACCGGAGGGCGTCGATAAGGATGTCGCGGTTGAAGGATATGGGAGGTACCAGGATGCCATCCACGTACTCCAACTTGAGTACCCTTCGAACTGCCGCTATTGATGTTCCTGGTTTACGAGAATCTTGGGGATTGCGTTTTCCTTTGCAGCTTCCGGGATTCCCACCTTGACTATCGTTATCAACACTTTGGTGTAAATCGCGGGATGACTCGGTCGCTTCGGTCATAACTCCACGTCTTGTAGAAGGCCGCTTGCTTTGCTGAATCGTTTCTGGTTTTGATAAGTCTTAAAACACACTAACTGAACAGCTGCCTTGTCCGTACTTTTCTAGTACACCGACCTCAAAGCGGACTGGCAAAAACTGGCTAATATGCCGGAATCTGTGATGGGACGTCTTTAAGTCGCCTCGGGAAAGGTCACGTGATGGCTAAGTTATATTATACTTGTAGTGCGGACAAAGAGGATATTTTCATCCCCTCCGCTCGCGCGCGTCGAGATTCGCATGTGCCACTGCAAACAAAATAAAGGGTTGACGGAACCTGTGTCGCTATCAGAGCTCGTTCGGACAGAAAGATTCAAGGGCGCAATCCTCCACCAGGTGCTTTTGCTTGTTCTTTGTGTGTTGTAGAAATTTTATGATTGTTCAAAATTTGCCCACTTCCTAGCGTGACTTACGTTAATTGAGGGTTCGTAGTTGTACGAACGAGCTTTGTGCCAGTTGGACAATTTGGGCGTCTTCCAAGATACGGCTCCGCGAAATGAAGCCCGGTTCAACAATTCCATTTGTTGGCGGATATTACGTGGTGACTGGCGCAAGACTAATGCTGCTCGTGACCACATCTCTTTTCAAGCCACTGGCTTCTGGTGTTGGCAGGTTGTGATAAAGTTGTTTAGTACGGAACTGGCATTGTGCAGAATTTTTCTGGCTGCTTTTCCCCTGTTTATCGAAAAAGCTTCCTCTAAATAAGATAGTATAGTTAAGAGAAGTCCTCTCAAACTAAATAAAATGCGAATTATCTGCTTTCCCTCAAACTCTTTCGTCCCAAAGGCCTTTGTGATGAAAACGTTACGAAATCCAGTTAAGAGGCACTGTGTAGACGTCGTGACGAGGAATTAAAAGATGGTATCAAGAAAATAAAGAAAATTAGTGCACACTGTGAACTACGGCAAGATATTTGGGTCAAGCTCGATTTGGAGGCAATTCCTATTCCGTTAGCGGACGGACATTCCAAACGTAGTAAGCACCTTGTCTCAGAAAGCATGATCATATGTTGCTATCGAATCTTCAGTAACCAGCTGTTCCGTATTCAAGATGGTGATATTTTTCCGGACAGATGTTTGTTGCGAGACTGAGTTTGACTTTAGTTCAGTCAAACTCAGATCTTTTTAATTTTTCTCTATTTGGAGAGGGGAGACAGAGAAAAAAGCAACTCAGTTGCTGTCAGAGCCATACTGCTCATACCTCGTAGAAAGACACGATGTTCCCTACGAACATGATGACAAACATATCTGCGGACACACCTCAGGCCTGTTGGAAGCCTCTTTTCATTTTCGTGTCTGTTCGATAATACTACCAGCCATGTTAGGGCAAAAGCAAGAGGGAAAAACTGAAGCAAAACAACTTAAAAATATGCTTTACAGTGTTAACAGAGAAGCCGTCCCCACCAGCAAGGGCGTACGAAGAAAACACGTTGTGACAAATTTGCTTTTCAAACAAGCTGTGTAAAGCAATCCCAAATTCAGAAATGAAGTCCAGAGCAGCAACGAAACCACAGATATAACCCCTGTAAAAAAAAACGAGTGTTGAAAACGTTTTTTTGCGGGGCATTGATTTCGAAAATCACTTTTCTATGATTTTATCTATCTGGATTGCAAGGTTTTGCTTTTAAATAAGGAGAACTGTCAAATTCCTAAAAAAAAAAAAAACATAAAATCTAAAAAAAAAATTAAGCTGTCGGAAAATTGTTTTGTTCTTTAGTGGTTGCATGTCATCTCTATTTTAGACGCTGTAACTGATGCCGTCCCAAAGTTTGAAAACATTTTTGCGTGCCACCAGCAACTAAGTACCTTCATTGTCCTTATAGAGAGAGGTCTGCCAAAGACCCCTAACCTCGGATGCATACTCCAGCGCAGGTCTTACGAGAGTTATATATGCAGAAAATTTGGTGTTTTAAGCAGTTTCCCTCGTAAATGCCGGTGTTTATTAGTTGCCTTTTTTTTATGTACTCCACATGAGGATTCCATATAAGATCGCGCGTGATTATCACACCATGGTACTTATAGCTATCAACTTTTTTGTGCTTAGTACCCTCAAACAGTTAATCAAAGCAGAATATGTTTTCCTATGTTCTAAATTGCATGTATTGTGTGTCCCGGCTTTGATGACCACGTGGCGTTCCCAAAACGATGATGATATACAAGATAGGGTATTCTTTCAATTTATCTTGTCGTCTGTCCCTTAAGCAGAAGCATAAATTATACAGTCATCTGCAAACATCTCGTTTTTCGCGAGCTCGTTGTCGATAAAAAAAAATGTTTACATAAATTCAAAATTGAAGACGTTTACAAATATGCATAATGCGAAACTAGAGCGCAGCTCTTGAGAAGGAGGAGAAAAGGGTACGGAGGGGAGGGTATACCCCTCCTCCTGCCCTCCTCCTCCTCCTCTCCTCCTTCTCTCCTTCTCCTCCTCCTCCTGTATTGTTTTTAATCTTACGACATCATTATCAGGTCTATATTATGCCTTGCTGTGTCCAGTGTGTCCTTTCACTTCAAAGCCTCCGAACGACGTCCCGGGCGCTCGTGTTCGTAGCGCGAGCTCTTCTTCGCTTCACCGCGTGGCTATATTGTATAGCCACGCGGTGTACTGCTAAGGGAAAAGGATGGAGCACAAGAACATTTAGCGAAAACTGTGGATGGCTCGCAAACACTTGTGTAGATTTCCGCTACTAGTAGTTTCTTTTTTTTTTCTTTTTTGCTATGAAGGACAAGATTTTTTCGTTGAGAAGTAAAATCGGAATTGTTTTCAAGAACCAACCAAAGGTGACACTTTCTTTCCTTCACCTAAATGTGCAATCGATACGAAATAAATTTGATAACTTAAACATATTTTTTGACGGTTTCAATTTCTTTTAATGTTATTATGCTCAGTGAAACATGGTATAAAAATAGCGAAGAAGTAGATAGGCTTGAGAAATACGAAATATTTAGTGCGAACAGAAACAATAAAATAGGAGGGGGAGTATGCATACATGTAAAAAGAGGTCTTGAGTGCGCACTTATAAGTGGCTTTACAACTATAACAAACGATTATGAAATAGTAACTTTACAACATGCAAAAAACTGTTTTTTCTATTGTCTTTTGCCCGTCAAGTGGTAATACCTGCTTCTTTCTTTAGTTTCTCGATGTGTATTTTTTCGTTTCTTGGTGAAAACAAATTGGCCGTCAGTTTTGGCGGTGATTTTAACATAGACATGCATGCGTCCTCCTCACATAAAATTGAATTCTTGTCTTTATATCAGTCATACGGACTCTTTAATGCCATTTCGCAGCCTACTCGCATAACACCCTGAAATACGGTGTTGTTGATTTTATTTTTAACAAATATTTCAGAAACGGACGTAATTGTCGGAGTGGTTGGGGAAACAATTAGCGATCACCTTTCAACATATATACCTGCTAGTGTAGACTCCAGCTCCAAAAAAATAGGTGATGCTCAGATTTATTTTAGAAATATAAGCATTAGAAACCTTAACCTTATAAAACAGCAGGTAAGTTCCGAAGTCGGGAGTGCGGTGCTATTTAGCGTGTCAGCTGACGAAGCGTTTAATTGTTTCTTTGAAATGTTTTAAATAATATATGATCGCTGCTCTTTTTATGAATTGCATAAGGTTCCTCGAAAGTCCCTCAAACCCTGGGTTACACCCGAAATAATAAAAAATTATAAATAATAATATATAATCATCTCTACCACAGATTCGTACAAACTAAAGATGTTAACATCTTGGTTGCATTTAAAAAAATTAGAAATCAATTAACAAAGACTGTAAGGCAGGCGAAACGTGTGTATTTCAATAATTTATTTAAAGATGACAAGATATCCGAGGTAGTAGGGAAAAAAGTAAATGGGTTAATAAGACAAGGGTGGCATGCGGATAAGGTACCAGAGATTAAAATCGAAGGTATCGTCGTAAAAGAAGTGGCTTTGGCAAAACTGTTTAGTGATCATTTGTACATAGTGTACATTGTGCGGATGCCGTTAGATATGGGCAGAGGATTTGACATAACATGTTTCTGTTTTAAACTGACGAGCATGAAGTATTTTCTGTTTTCTGAAACTTAAAAAGAGTAAGAGCTCTGATATATATGATTTTCAAATTAAACCTATCAAGCATGTTTTGCGGTCGATTGTTCCCTACTTAACACATGTTTTTAATCTAGCAGTCGAGAACGGAACTTTCCTCCAAAAACTTCAGGTAGCAAAGGTGTCTGTACTATATAAAGCTGGAGATAAAAACAACCTCCAAAACTATAGACCGGTTTCTGTTTTGCCGATATTTTCCAAAGGTTTACAAAAAATAATTCATCACGGGCTGTATACTTTCAGCGAATAAGTTTCTATCTTAACGCCCAGTAAATACGGATTAAAAAATGGTTAGCTACCGAACTTGCCTTTGTTAAAACAAAAAGATCAAATTAAAAAAAAATTGGAAAAAGTTATAAACGCTCGGTGGATTCATAGTTGTTTGTTGTTGTTTTTTTTCAAAAGCGTTTGACCGGATCAATTATGACAGATTGCTTCAAAAGCTGCATATTTATGGTATTCGTGGCGTTGCTCTAGATATGGTTATAAGTTATCTTCATTATCGATATCAGTGCGTTGAAATAAATTTTAAAAAAACAATACGATCTTAGGCAACAGACTGCCGGCAAACCGCAAGGAACCATACAGGGAGCACTTCTCTTTAATCTATATATCAATGACATCTTAAATATTGATAACAATATGTCTTATTTGCGCTGATAATACCAGTATACTCTATTCAGGTGATAATAGTGATCAGATTATAATTACTGCAAATATTTTTTTTTAAAGGTTAAATGCCTGGACCGATTTAAATTCATTAAAAATAAATGGCAGTATAACAAAAGCACTATTATTTAAATAACGAAATACAAACTGTTATATGCGTCCATTCTTTCTCTTGAAACACACTGTATAATAA